TATTATAAAAACAAAACTTAATTTAAAAAAGAACTCTGTTATGTCCTGCATCTTGACATGCTCTGTTAAATAAAAAAATATTTTAAATATATCGAATGAGTCTGGATAGAGAAAATTGGAATGTGCGATCAAAACAGCAAAATCTGAGACCAAACAAAAAACATTTTTCATTTTATTTGAAAAATACTTATTTCTAAACGAAAATCATCAAAAATTTTGGGGAAAAAAGCGTGTCAAATAAAAGGTTATACTGTTTCTGAAAGACCAGATCTCAAGCTGTTCTTCCATGCATTTTATCTCAATTTCGATGATTCTGACGAAAATGAACTTTTTTGTGAAGAGGAGGGAGGTGGCTTAAGAAATATGATCGGTTTCGATTACATATATAAGAATTTCGCACGGAAAAAGATTCTCCACAAATCCATGCTATAAGAAAAACGTCTACCTTCTTTGATGCATGAATAAGACAGTATAAGAACGCCTTCTATAGGTGTGCCTACTAAGTAAAAACTTAAAAAAGAAAACTCCTAAATGACTAAAAAATTGCAGTGCAGAGAGATCTCAATTTTCGACAATGCAATTTCAATTAACATAGGAACGATAAACAATTTTACCTAGAGTTGATCCTATCCTGTCGAAGAATTACATTATTTCTTCTGTTCACAATAGTTGACTGAAGATTAGCTGACTAATTTTAATTATCACGCGTAAAAGATGGAGACCAAATCATCAAAATCACCGTTTTTCGAAATTTACTGAAGATGAATGGGAACACATATTGAAGATTCAAAACTTTTTGTATCATCTCGAGACATGCGTACAGATTTCGTTAGAGCAAAAAACAAGCAAGATATGTAGGCCGAATGCGTATGTGACCGACTACAGAAATGCTGTGCTTTGCATCACATTACAAAAAGATCAACGTTTAATCATGTTCCTGAACAGAGTTATATGCAAAACAAAAAAACATCGCAAAACTTTGTCACACCCGGTATACCTTTATATCAAAAAAGAGCTTTAACTATAAATATCTACGAAAAAACGACTGTTTTTTTTGTGAAATAGATGATATTGTAGTTTTCAAATGTTTAATAATTCTCGGTTATGCCGGAGAAAATCTTCACACATTTTGATCATCGTACTTTGATTTGGTATAATCGATTGATTATGATTAGGTCTTTTATTATTTTTAGATTTATACAAATTATGATCGATACGTTTTGTTCGAATACCAGAATTATACGTTGGATAGATTGAACGTGTATAAGGTTTTAACGATGAATTACATTGTGCACCATTATTTAACCAATTTTTAATGATTGATTCAAGACGATTTATTTGTTCTTCAGCCATTTTATTATATAAAAGAAAACTTTAACGCAAAAAAATTCAAGACGTGCTTAAACAAACAAAAAAGTAATTTTCGTTAGTAAAGATTTACGTATTTGAATTAGCGCTAAATAATAGAAGTCTATTAACCATTGAATTATTTCATTTAACAAAAAATGTTCCGACTGAGTTTGAATTATTTCAATGTTAATTATTGATGAAAATATTTACAAAAATATGCCTTAATAAGATCTTAAACTTAAAAAAAAAACAACGGAAAAATGTTCTTTAATACACAACATATTCACTTTGTAAATATTCTATATCTTTAACAGAATGAATACATACTCTTTTTTTAATAATTTTTAAACAAAAATATTCTGGCATCACAAAATATTTTCTCTTTATGCCAGAGATGGAATTGGTCTGGTGTTTTGACAATCAGTATTGGTTCTATTGCTGCTTTATGCATTGATTGTTCTTTAGACAAACAATACATTTTTAAAATATCTTTGTTGTTCTCCCGTAGTTGTTAAATACAAACACTATACAAGTAAGATATTATTTAAAGTAATTTAAATGCCAATTTTTTGTCAACTTACTCACTACATTACTGCAATAGAAAATATTGAAAAACGGTCTGATATCATTTGTCTGAAATGTAAAACTCACATAGGTCATATAAGCTAGCATCTAATTTAGTATAAGTTTTTTTTATGAAATGGTGTATCAATTTTGATACAACTTTGATGAGCTTATAAGAAAGAATTCATTTTCTTTTTTATTAAATAGCAATACTATTGTTTTTATGATATGACGAGGAAAAAAATTTACACGACATCAGTCAAAATGGATGAATTAATAAATGACTATAATGATATTTGTCACGCATTGAAACAGTTACAAATAGATGTTAAAGCACTAACTACGATAAGAAAAACGTTCCCACACTGTTACTAGTGCACATATTAGTACCTTAATTATGCACTCTTTCTTTCAGTTGCTTCTCTCTTTGGCTTCAAAAACTTCAATTAATGTTGTTCACTATGCAAATCTTTTATTACAGCAGTATTAAAATGATTGAAATATACCTGCCATTGCTATGAAAAGCCTTTAATCCCGGTTTCTAAGGTCTGTAATAGGTGAGGGGGAGCCGCACAACTTACATTTACTATGTTCTTCCAAAAATGTAATTTTGATAGTGTATATTTATTCATTTCTGTGACACCTCTGAAAGAATATCATCTAATTACAAGATAAGTTCGTTAGTAAAAATTACTCATTTTACATTTATTGTTAGTTCATCAAAGATCTTTACAATGTGTATGCTATGCATCATTAATTACGTGTGCGTTTTTTTCTTTCTTTATTTTAACAAGAAAACTCGAATTCTATATACACATTTTCTTTTTAAAGGATTCTATGAAGCAGAATATTATTTTTTATTATAAATAGGTTTTCAGATAGCATATTATCTGAAGTATCAAAATGACGATCAGTGGTACTTTTTACACATCGGCATAAAGAAACTTTCACTTTGTAGAATCATATTATCAATGTTAACTATTCGAAATTACGGTGAGTTATAAACAAACACAAAGAGCTAATTAATAAAATTCCTAAGAATTTTCTCTCAATGCATTTTCGAAAAAAAGATTCTTTATGTATACAGAGGCGACGTAAAAGTCCAGTCGAAAAAGAAACAAAAATAGCTCTTCAGCAGATCAAAACTATTTACATATCGTATTTACAGTTTGATCTTATCCTTATAAAAATTTTATTCGATCCATTTTAGTTAAAATGTCTGTGTCTATCAAAGCCAAAATCAAAATAGACTCACTCATGGTCATACTCAAATCAGTAACTAGTGTAAAATAAACTGTATCAATTCAAAATTGCATTATGACTAAATTCCAACGATTGTGTAAAACCAGGACCGTCGAAAATCTATCACGTTGAGGAGTATGTAGAGTAATTCCTGAAGAAGAATTCAATCAAATTAATGACATTTGTAAAAATGAACCGAGATCAATTGTTCATCTTCATAGAACTGTTGAATAAATTACATCTTGTGTACGGCTTTAATGAAACATGTGTCATCATTACTTCATAGGTTATTGTTCATGGTATTGAACACATTTGTACAACAGACCGAACACTTTATCCTGACTCACTTGCACAAGTATCATTAACCTCATTCAACTTCTCTCGAGAAACTACTCTATATACTCCTCAACATGATAGATTCTCAACAGTTTTGGCCTTACACAATCGTTGGAACCTAGTCCTTATGCAATGTTAATTTAGTAGGGCTCTTTTTCGACACTTGTGACTGATTTGAATTCGACTATGGGTGAAACTATTTTAATTTTAACTTTGATAAAGGTAGATATTCTATTTAAAATCGATTGAATAAAATTCTAATAACGATAAGATCAAACTGTAAATACGATATGTAAATCATTGGAACTGCTGAAGAGGTATTTATGTTTTTTTCCATGAGACTTCTCGGGCACTCGGTATTTCGATGTGTGTTTAGATTTCCACTATCTTTTTGTTTTATAGGTAGCATTAGGTAAGATGTATTCCTTACTAGAATATTAATATATTAAAAATTGTATGCAATGGGCAAATAACAAAGCGAAAAGATGCTATGAGACCTTTTCAATATTCTAATAATCAATATTATTCTCTTTTTAATATTACTCTGGGTTTTTTAATTCGAATTAACGTTGTTAAGAGATATTAATGAATTTCTCTTCTCATATTTTCTACAAGAAAAAAGTTTCGGTTCAGCTTATTGTACAAATGACTCATCTTACAAAGGAAATAGGTCTGTTGTAGGGTTAGACATACTCGAGTCCAATTAAAACTCTCACCGCTAACTTAACGAGTTCAAAAAAATAGGCTATTTCTAGCGAGTCTGGACAAAAATTCAAATTTGCCAACAGCAACCTACATTTTAAATTTGTTAGTTTGGTAGTGCAAGCTTTAATTTCACTCGATTATGACTAATCTTATTATCTTACAACACAAACACCTCTATTGTTCGATAAATTTTATTATTCATAATTGGGTATGAATTTTTAAAAATCTCATATGACATATTAGAATAAAAGATCAAGGACAATCAATGTATTTTATTACTCTGTATACGCATCGAGTAATTCAATCTGAAAACATGATCATTTCATTTTACGTGTATTCATATCAGTGAATTTTGCTTTTATTAAGAAAAAAATTGTTACCATTGCTATAGGTGATGGATGAAAAAAATTCATCCGGGAAACATTTTCTTCGTTCTTCCATGTTTAAAATAAAAAAAAGAGAAATCTGCTTCGTTATAATTTAATGAAAAATATTTTGCATAAAAAAAACTATCGAAGAATTTGTTGTTATATCAACCTATACATAAAAACGAAAAGATAGCTTCTTATATATGGTAGCAAATTCTTGTCAATTATTCAGGTGATATAAAGAATATAAAAAGAATTTAAAGGAAGAAGAAGAAAAAGAAGAAGAAGAAGAAGAAGAAAGACAGTGAGAATGGAAGTCGAGTTTGCATTTTAATCTAAACGCAAATCGTCAGACGGGAAGAGAAAAAAGGATTTTCTTGTTTTTCTTCTGTCTTTGTTCACTACGCGACTCTCAGAATCTTTTTTACATAACTCATGTCTTGTTGCTTTGGTAAAAAAACCGATGGTACGGATCCTATAAAAACAATATGTAGGCTTAAATAGAGAATTTTTATTATTTGAAATTGATTTATATTTGTATCATTATATAGCAGATCAATCGGATCCATCATCAGAACGACCAATTATACCTGTGAATAAAGTTCAAAATTCAAGTTAAGTGATAAAATATTTATGATATGTGTATTTTAAATACAAACTTATTTTAGATATTGAATATTCAATTACTGTAAAAACAGGAGATTTTCGAAATTCTGGTACAAATGGACCTGTCTATATTAATATATTTGGTCGAGATGATAAACAAACACAAGATTTACTGTTATCAGGACATGATAAATCATTTTCACAAGGTTGTACAAGAAAATTTCAAATTAATGCTATTGATATTGGTAAACCACAACGTATTATTATTCGACATGAAGATAATTTAACTGGGTGGTATGTCGATTATATCGAAATATCTGTTCATAATTTCTTAGTTAGGTATAGTCTTTATTGATTATCAAAATAATAGAAAAGATTATTTATTCAATTATTTAGATTTGTAGCTAATCGATGGTTAAGTCGATCAAAAAATGATCGAAAACTAGAAGCCGAACTTTTTGGTTCCGAACAACCAGGTTTAAAGAAAAAGATAATAATTAAGAATATTTAAAAGTTATTCTTTTTTCTTTTTCTATTATAGCTGTTATGTACAATATAGAAATTCAAACCGGTGATGAACAAATTGAACCATTAGATTCACCAGTCTATGCGCAAGTATATGGAACAACAACAGCAACACCCAAACTTTTCTTAGATTCCAAAAATACTTCATTTTCAAAAGATTCGATATCAAAATTTACTATAGCAAGCAATAATGTTGGAGAAGTACTTCTTGATTATCAAATCAAAACTTTATATTTAAAATTTTTTTTTTTTTAAAAGATTCAACGAATTGTAATTGGTCATGAAGGATTAGGTAAAGCTAATGATTGGTATTTGAAAAGTATTAAAGTTCAAATGCTTTCACAACAACAAGAGTTCGTATTTATTTAATTATTTATTCATTAGACTGAATATTGTTTCGTTCATTTAGATATGTTATCAATAAATTGTTAAGTCCGATACAAGGTGATCAACGATTATTTGTTGAATTATCGCAAGAACAACCTCGATCGCCATCACCACCTCGTAATGAAAAAGAAAAAGAAATCAGAGATGGAACCGGCATCAATACCGGTCTTGAAAAATACAACGCAGTTCTATCTTTGAAAGAAATAATCTAAATGAGAAATGAATGTACAAAAATTTGTTTTATTCTTTCTAGCTCCTCCGACATATTTAGTAACGCTTCGAACAGCTAATGTATCACAAATGGAAACGACTGAAAATGTTGAAATGATTGTGCGTGGATCTGATGGACAAATTGCTAAGATACTATTAAAAGATTATGCAAAATCAAATGGTAAACCACTTTTTCAACAAGGAAATTTAGATGAATTTGAAATAGAACATGAAGATATCGGAACTGTAAGACAATTTTGATTTTAAATAAATCAATCAATGAATAGGTTAAACTTTGTTTTATTTTTTTATAGATTGAAAGTGTAACAATTGGTTTTAGCGATAGTAAACAGAAAGTAGCTTGGCTATTAGAATATGTCGATATAAAATACAAAGAAACCTTCTATCGGTTAGTGACAATGTTTAATTATAATGATTCTATTTTAAGTTTTTGTTAGTTTTCGAGCACAATGTTGGCTATCAAGTCGTTTAGGACCTAATTTTAGTTGGATGACAATCAAACCTGACGTAAACGATGATGGTAATATAGTCTAGTTTATAAAATGTTTCTATTGAAGCTTTGCAAAGCAACACATAAATATTATTTTTTCGAATTCTGTTGCTCTCCTTTTAAATTCGACAGAAGACTTGTCCAAGGTTGTCATTCGATATTAAAATTCTTTATTGTTCACATATTTTCAATAATATAATTATTCATAGCTTGCATACATTATAATACCATTTATGTTACATTTTCAATGACATGTAGAAAGGAAAAAATAACATAAACATGGACGGTTTGAGATGTAGTTGTCAAAAACAATCTTGAACGCCTTTGAAACTCGTATGAGCACGCGGAATAATATATCGACCAACGACGAATGAGAGAGAGAGAGAGAGAATGTGAGAAAAAGTCGTTTTTCATGCATACTTTTATTACAATAAAAAAGAGTTGCTTTGTCGACATAAAAACCTAGTTGCAAATAAAGAAACATTGTTCTCGTCATCGTTAGGAAAGAAAAGGTTTAAAAAATACAACATAACATATCGAGTGACCGTATAGAGTTTAATTAAGAAAAAAAGAAAGAAGTTTCTAATGACTTCTGAAGGTTTGTATTATGATTGAACTGAATGAAAGTTTTTCTTTTTTTGTTCATTATGTCTTATCTAATTAAATAGATATTAATTATAATGTTATTGTTGAAACTGGTGAATCCGGTATTGATGCTAATGTCATATTATGTATTTATGGTGATGAAAATACAACAACGAGTTTAGCTTTAGGAACAACAAAAGATGGTTCTGATGCAAAATTTGATCCAGACAGTATTCTTGAATTTGATTTAAAAGCAATCGATGTTGGAAAAGTAAAATACTTTTTTTTGTTTATTTGTTTTTTTTTCGTGAATTATTAATAAAATGTTTTTGAAAATTTTTCTAATAGATTAAAAAAATTAACATTGGTCATGATGGCGAAGGCAATGAACGACAATGGCTTTTAAAATCAATTCAAATTGACAAGAAAGATGAACATTATACGTATGTTCAGTTACTTTAAACCTTCGTTTGAATAGACCAGAAGAAAAAAAAATAATTATTTAGATTCACCGCTAACCGATGGTTAAGTACAGAAAAAGATGATCAAAAAACCTATATCGATCTTTTAGTGGATGAACAAAAAGCACCATCACCATCACCAGTACCTAAAAAAGGTAAATAAAACATTAATCTTTTTTTTTCTTCATTTTTATGCCAAATAGATCAAGCTACTTATACAATTATGGTTGTAACAAGTTCCGAAGAAGACGCTGGTACAAATTCCGATGTATTAATGACAATATTTGGTGATAAAGATAAAACTAAACAATTTCAATTAACGAATACAAAACAAGGTGATAAAGCATTGTTTGAATCAGGAAAAACAAATGAATTTGAAATGGAATTAGACGATGTTGGCAATGTGTGTAAAAATAATGAAATATATTATAATTTTCTTGAAAATCGTTTTATAGATTAATAAAATTAATATTGGATTAGATGGAAAAGGTGTTCATCCAACTTGGCATTTAAAATCAGTTCAAATACAAAAAGGATCAGAAAATTACAAGTATAGAAATATTTTCATATTATTGTTTGTTAATGACATCTTCTTTTATTTTTAGTTTTTCGGCTAAGAAAATTCTCGATCAATCAACACCATTTATTGATTTAACACCAACTCCAGCTAGTATAAAACAAAAACAAAAACTAATAATTTTTTTCAAGTTTTTCTCAATTATCATTATTTTCATAGGAAAAACACCAACTCCAGAACCTGTTAAAATGGAAACAGTACGCAGTCATACACCTGAACAAAAAATTCCTCCTATAAAAGGTTTATTTATTTTATTATTTTTCTTTTAATTTTTCGATTTGCTCAAAATTTGTTATAGAAACAACATATAAAATATTAATTTACACTAGTTCACAACAAAAAGATATCATTAATCAAGATGCTAATTTCTATATAATAATCCATGGACAAAATGATCAAACTAAAAAACTTTATCTTAAGCATGCAACAATAAACGATAAAAAAAAATTATATAGAAAAGATGACAAAGCTGAATTTGAATTTAAAGCAATCGATGTCGGAAAAGTTTGTCATTACAATAATTTTTAAAATAAGTATTTTGGTTTTGTTTCAATATAAATTAGATTTCACAAATTACTCTGGGACAAGATGATTCTGAAAATGAACTCGTATGGCATGTTGATAATGTTACAATTAAACGAACTAATGAAACAATAACGTAAATATTTTCAAAAATTTTGTTTTTAAGTAAACAAAAAAGAGAAGAAAATTTAGATTTAATGCCGAACAAACAATTGGGCGTAATTCCGAAATTGAATTATTACCGTCGGCTATACCGAAGAAGACAGGTGAGTATGATCTTAAATAAATACTGATGAATACATTGTTTTTTGTTATCTTCAGAAATAACTTATAAAATTCTTATACGAACTGGCACATCTCAAGAAGAAGGAAACGATAGTAATTTATATATAATAATACATGGAAAAAATGGTCAAACAAAAAAAGTTCTACTTAATGAAACAACAAAAACAAATAAAAATACTTCTTTGAAAAAAAATGATAAAATCGAATATGAATTTAAAATAGATGATGTTGGAAAGGTCAGTTTCATTTTTAGAAAAAGAAAGATTCTATTCAAAAATATTTTTATTTAAAATAGATTTCAAAAATTGTGCTTAGTCAAAATCCAAATGAACAAACACTTATTTGGGATATTGATAATATTACAATCAAACGAAATAATGAAAAAACAACGTAAAACATTAATATTTTTTTTTTTGTTTTTTATTCTTCTTTCGATAAAACGAAATTTTAGATTCAATGTCGAACGTAAAATAGAAAAAGATGATGAAGTTGAATTAATACCTTCACCTATACTGAAAAAATCAGGTAATGATTAATAAAAAACAAAATTCTTTTGATTTATATTTCTAATACACACTTTAATGTATTAAGAAACACCACGTAAAGCAAGTAAAACAGCCGATACAACATCAAAACTAGTTGTCAGAATGAAAGGTAAGCATTAAAAATAAGAATTTTAAAAATTCTTTGTCAACTCATTAGTAGATACCCTGCTGAGAAAAAGAGAAAAAAGAAAAATAACGTCAATAGTTACGTTTAGAAACATTAACAAATCCGAGGCAAAACGAAAGCAAATTGACAGTTTTGTTTTCAAAGAGTGTGTTAGTATAAAAATATAGAAATAATTCATTGAATGAGCAGAGTTCAATCAGAAAGATCACATAAAAGACAACGAGATGGTAAAATTCATAATTAAACAATCATATATTTTTATCAAATTTTACTTTATCTCTTAGATGCTGATTATGAAATTATCACATCAACAGGTGAACAAGCACTTGAAGCTCCAGTAACAATAAAAATTCGTGGTGAAAATGGTATTGTTCGTATTCCATTAACACAAACAAAAAATGGTGAACAACCATTTCAATCAAAATCAACTAATGAATTTACATGTAGAACAACGGATGTTGGAAAAATTCGACAAATTACAGTTGAACATAATGGAATGGATAAAAATATTATCTGGCACTTAAAAACCATTCAAATAAAAAAAGGAAATGAAACATATAAGTTAGTAACAAAACGTTTCTTTTCAATATTTTATCTTTTTACTTGCTAATATTTTTAGTTTTAATGCTGATTTACGCCTTGATTATAAAGAAAACAAAGCAAATCTTTATCCTGTTGGTGCTTTATTTGGTCATCAGCGAGAAGATTATGTACAAAGTGAATTACGTCGATTACGAGAGAGTCTTCGAAGTGAATCATCAAAATTACATCCACCTGTGCAGTTAGTTCTTTTTTTTTGAAATAAGATTTTGGATAAAAAAATTATTTATATATACATTTTTTTAGCAAAGCTTATGAACCATTTGTTTATAATGATTTAAGTCCTTATTTTGATACGAGTTCTGTTGAAAGAGCTATTTATTCAGTAAATTAAATAAAAGATAGTAGATTTGAAGTTTCAGTTTTTTTTTCAATTTTTAGCCATTAGAAGCTCCACCCGGTTATTATACACGTTTAACAGCACTTCGTATTGTTGAGCCATGGGAAACATATGGAATGGATTATGGTGTCAATTATGAAATATCAAAACAACGTAAAGGTCGTAGTTTTAGTAATCGACGAGCGTAAGTTTATTATCATGCTGTTTTTTATTACTATTTCAATGCTTGTTTGATTTTTGTTAAATAAAACTTTCACTTTTTCCATACAAAAAAAATGACACAAATAACCCCTTTTTCCTTGTTTTTGTTTGTTTCTTATAATCGTTTTAGTAAAACCATTACACACAGTGGTATTATGATTGTTCCACCAATATCATTACCTTATGGTGGTCAAATAACACATATTAATACAGCTGAATTCGAGCGTGCACTGCAAGAACGATCACGTTCATCTAAACACCGATCTGTATCACAACATAATAATAATCAACAAACTCACATTGTTAAAATAAATTCCTAATTTCACTTAAACACTTTCTTCTTCTTTAATGACTACTATCACTAATGTTTGTATGTGTATGTTATTATTTGTAACAAATAAAATATGACATAAATTTCAACAATTAACGGATATAATCTTTGATCTATACACATAAAAAACAATGATTTGATATTTCTTACACATTGATCACAGGGTTTCGAAATCAGCAGATGAATCAATTGATCGAAAACAAGGTTCAACACATTTACCAAAATTTCCTTGTGTTAATATGAGAAAACCTGCTGAATATTCACGACCATTAACTATGAATGATGTTCCTAAAATCAGGTTCGTCAAATAAATATTCTCTAGAACAATTTTTTTTTCATATTCATCTTCAAATAGATCATTTATACGAAGTCGTTATACTACTGACGCTCATAATCAAATGGAAAAAGATTACAAACGCACTCATGAAGATCTCTATCGAATGCAATTAGACGATTTGGATAGTTATCATGAATCAAATCGTCAAAATATGCTACGTGTTTATCATTCATATCTAGAAAATACACCTGGTTCAAAGAAAGCTCTGCGCGAACTATGTGATCAAGTAGCTCCTCCTTATACAAACTCATCTATCGACACAACAGTTTAGTTTATACTTTTTTTTTCATTTAATACATCAAAAAAAGGAAAAAGAAAAATTCATACGTGTCATACACATATTTGTACGAAAAAAGAAAAGAAAAAGAGCACAGCATTGTCGCCATTATTGTACACACATCATAGAAGATCCAAAAGAAAAAAGAAAAATTGACCACACACAACATGAAGAACCAAAAAACAGATTGCTGATAATAAAAAAAAAGGAAGAGGAAAGTCAAATACCGGACGGACGACAAATGTTGATGGTGATGATAGAAAAAAAAACAGGAAAACTCGAGATGAATGAATCAATTAGTGTATATAATATTAATACTGAACACACAACATTGTTAATAAAACCTGAGAGATGTCACCGTTGAGGAGAATTATATACATCTAAATATTTGACAATTTTGCAATATAAACATAATCCGATAATCAACATAGGAAAATTGAGCAGAAGTAGAGCACAATGGCACAGCACCGGCAAACTATCTGGCATTTAATTATTATTAACAATTGTTTGCTGTGACGGCAATGAAACAACAGTTGTTGTTGTTGTTGTTATTTGTTGTTCACTAGGTGAATAATCAAGCCAACTATAATCCGGTTTTGTATCAACAGCATCAAGAAAATCTATTTCCATATCCTTCAAGAACAAAAAAAAATAATTTTACTCATTGCCAAAATTCTTAATAACATACCACCACAACATTTGTTGCTTCACGATGTAGAACTTCAAAAATACATTTTTGTACTTGTCCATCTGTATTCATTTGTAAACAAAGAAGACGTTCGGCAACTAAAAATTAATAAACAATACATCAAGTTTGTTGCGTTCTATCGCTTACTTAATGCATCAAGAGCTCGCAATTTTGATAATAAAAGAAGTAATTTTGTAAAATGCATTTGATCATGATTACGATTTCTTGCTATGTGTAATCTTTCAATTTCACAATAACGTGTTTGTAATTCTTCAACTTTTACTCTTGTTGCTTGACCTTCAATTCGATCTATTAATATTATAAGAATCGAATGACATCTTATTTAAAATAAATAATTAAGATCTTACCATAACTGAAAAATACAATACAACAAAGTAGAACAAATTCTTCAATTGTTAATTCTAATCGACTGAATATTCTACAAAATTGTAAAAATGTATGTCCATAACAACCAAAACCTTGTGTCATAAGTGTATGTTCATCGACACAAGCACCATTTGATAAATATAATTTATCTTCTTCAGGTTCATAACGATAAGCTAAACGTAATAATGCAACTTCATGTGCACCTAACTTAAGTAAATGTGCACGTTCTTGTATTGATAATTCATTATTTCCTGGCATTTGCATACAAAATTGTATACACTGCATTATACCTTTTTGACTAAATTCATCAGCAGTTTGCCAACGTATATCCGGTTTTTCCTAAATCAAGAATTTTTCCATTTAAAAAAAACGAATTTTAACATCGATAGAGCTCGCAGAGATTTCACAAAACTGTATTTATTGAATAGTTTCCACTAAACTACCTCCGATTGATTTCATATACAAATTAATAGATTAAGGATGGGTTCTAAGGCAGGGCTTTTCAAACTGAAGAAGTGGATATGATACGAAAAAGACTATTCATCACATGTCGCGCATTTATTCGTGCTATCTTAGTTGGACACTAGCTGAATGTTTGGGTATCAGACAACCGCCATTAAAGCGAACATTACATCGTCAGTTTTTCTCCGATTTGAATTATACGAGATTTAATTTGCTCTTTGCTCGCCTTATTAATGTTTTTAATTTAGTATTATTACAATCCGCATAAAAGAAGAAACAAATAAAGACGCCGTAAATTCCAATGGATACATCTACAAAATAAAAAATTCGAAATATTTATGAGTTATCATCATCTCATGGAAATTTAATGTTGTTCATCTACGAATACGAAGATATGAAAACATTGTACAGTTCAAGAGTTATAGAAACCAAAAGAATTCAATACAAAATTTCAAAAGAGACTAAAACACTCAACCAGTTCCAAGTATGTTATGGATCAATTTTGTCATTATATGAAGTGTGGGAATCTTTTGTTAAGTGTTTTTATATTAAGATCAGGATGCTCTCCGTCTAAATGTCCGAGTTTCTGCCAACCTTTTACAACTGCGCGGTTTTAATCACCATTGACTTTCCTCTGGCTGAAAGTAAAATAAAAATGAGCAGAATGTCATTGTTACGTGAATAGGATTAAGAGGGGGGGGGGGGGGGGCGCGTTTCAGTAGCAGGTAGACCCCATCGGATCCGAAAATTCTCGGATTCGAACCGAAGAGACTATAGTGGCAGATCGTCTTGTTGTCTGAGGGAACAGATCTAGTTCTTTCTGAATCAGTCATTACTTCTAGCACTTTGAACGAGAACTTTTGCTGTCTCGCACTCCTAAAAAAATATCGACAATCCTGGTCAGGATTAAACGCCATAGAATCCACACTTGAAAATCACTTATTGAAAATCAAAAGATTGCCTCTCGGAATCTATTCTTATGATCATATAAAGAAAGTATTAACTTACATCAATTTCTTGAGATGGTTTAAAATTAAAGGTCGATTTATGTAAATTAACACAAATTTTAATTAATTTTTCATCATCAGAATTATTTTCAACAGCAAGACGTGTTGGTGGTAATTTCGGTGCAAGTACAGGTAAATATTCTGTTGATGGTATTTGATGTATTTCATCAACTGAACGTTTCATTATTGTTGTTGGTCGTTTTTTATTTGTACGTTCAATACGAGTATTAGGTGTTTTTGGATCTGTTTCATTTAATAATTTTTTTGCTTGATTTGATAATCGTAATTCTTCTTTACTCATTCCAACAGAAAAACATTTTTGAAAACGCTAAAAATCAAAGAAAATTAATTAAAAAATAAAAATAAAAATAAATTTTTGATTACACAATATTGACAACGATTTCTTGTCATTTTATTTATTTCACAATTTTGATCTTTATGACATTGATATGTCATATTCTTTTGTACACTGCGTCGAAAAAAACCCTAATTAGTCAAAATCAAATTCATTTATAATTCTAAACATTTTGCAAAAATCAAACTCACTTTACAACCTAGAAGAAAAAAAGAAAAGAAAATTATATAATTAAAATAAATTTCAACTTTTTTTTTACCTTCACAACTTGAAACACCATAATGATATCCCGAACTTTTATCACCACAAACTACACAAGGTTTATAAACTCTTGGTGGTGGTGGTGGTGATGCACTAGCTGGTGTTGTTGCTGGTTTGTTAATTGATTGTAAATTAATTTGTTGAATATTAAACACTGGTTGATTCGGTACAACTAAAATTTCTAATAGATAATAAAAATTTAATTTTTAAAATCAATTCAAAAATTTTACTTGTATTATACACAATATTATCAAATGTAAATGTTTGTTGTTGATTGGTATTAAATTGATTTGCATTTCCATTAAAATATTGTGTTGTTGTTGGAATAGTTCCTTCAGTTTTAATAACTTGTCCATTTGTTACATTAAGTCCTGAACTAAAATATTCATCAGTTGTTGTTGCCATTAAAACATTACCTGAAAAACGAATCAACATTTTTTTCTGTGCAAAAAAAAAATTTATTTCAAATACCGTTTGGACGATTTTTAATTGGTGTACCACTATTAGCATTATTATTATTATTTAAATGTCCAATATTTTCATTTGTATTATTTATTGCTGAAACATTAATTGTTTCAGCACATGTCATTGTATGATAATCATCTGTATTTTCACCAAAAAAATCATGATAATCAAATGATTCATGAAGAAGTTCGTTATCATCCATTTATGAATTTTAATTTATGCACATACTGTATTGAAAAGAAAAATTTTATATAAAAAACTCAATATGAGAAGGTCCAATGCTCAGTTGAGCTAAACAACAAATGGTGTGAACGTCTATATATGTTATGTTCCACGCGAAAGCGAATGAACAAGAATTTTTTTTCTTTCTTCTTTTTTTTCTATTATGACCATAGGACTGTATTGGTCAATGTTGGTCGTCCTCGGTGCGTCGGCGGCGGTCGGTTTCTTTTTTCCTTTCGCCGTCGACGGACGATGATATACAGACAATGATAAGATGTTGGCACAATGCCATATTTGACCAAGAGAAAGAAAGAAAGGAAGAAAAAAAAAAATTCAATTTCCTTTACTATGTGGACAGTAGCAATGGTGGTAGCTATGACTAGAAGTATTTTTGTTGAACTTTATATGACCCCTATGTTATTAGGAAGCAAAAAAAAATTTTTTTTTTCTTTCTTCCTTTTCTTTTGTCATTTTAATAAAATTATTCGAATATTAAGTATCACTGGATGAAAATATTAAAGAAGTTTGTTTTTTAAAAAAAAGAAGAAAATTTTCACGAATTAAAAATATGAGTTTGAAGCATATGTTAATACTGATAATTATCTTTTTAAGATACGGTTTTTTATTAATTGAATTTTTTGTATATAGATGCATGTATTTCAAATCACTAACAATACAATTTCTGCGATATATTTGAACGGCAATCGAATATTCGGAAAATGTTATGCATTTTTATTGAGATGTTTTAATAATTTTCTGAAAATTTATAAAAATCTTTTATTAGTAATTATGGTAAACAGTTTAAGTAAAATTTTTTGCCAATATTTCTCTGACATCAAACTTTGTAGATTTGTTTTAATTATTATTAATTCATTGCTTGTAAACAAAGATCGAAATTTTTCTATTGTAAAATATGGACAAATAATTGTTGACGTTTTATCATATTTAGTACTGTTTCGTTATGCACAACAGTCCGTGTAATTTCAATATGTTTTTTGATTAGAATTGATAATAATTATTCGGGTGAAATGTTATTTATTTCCCATCCAATATATTCGTATGTTTCATCTTTCTATATGGTATGTTTTTTTCATTTTTATTTTTAATGTAAATTTTCATATTATACATGAATTTATTGATCAGAAGGAGACAATAAATATTAGTTATAATTTATTTCAAAGAAAAAAGAGATCATACATTGAGTCCATTCTCGAACATTTGACAAACATGGAAAATTGTTTTTTTTTCTGTGTTTGTTGATAACAAAAAGAAGTAATCCAATATTTCATTCAAAATAAAAAGAGAAAAAAAGAGTTTTGTTTTACGAGAATATGCACGAAGACGAACATTAAATTAATAGAAAAGTGTTGTGTTATTAACATTTGACCATCTGATACTACTGCTTTTTGAAAATAATACAAAAAAAAACAAAGCAAACCCTTAGAGATTTTCAATGTTTTGATAAAATGTAGCCTAAAAGAAAAGTAAGAGAAAATATCATTTCAAAATAATGTTTCACTTAATATACATACAGGCATAGGTGAATAATTTCCATGACTTTCTTCACCATCACTATCACTACTATCGTGTTGATTTGGACGAGAATCTATTTAGAAAAAAACAAACAAATAGAACAAAAATTCAAAATCTAATTCTTTATATTTATTTACCATTCATATTATTCATATTTAATTTTAAAAAACAAGAATCACAAACACGAACTCGTTTAGGATCCAAATGAGGTAAAAGAAAACGTTTTTTTGAACATCCTTCACAAACAATATAACCACAATTTCGACAATGCTATTTTAATATATCAAAAATTTAAAAAAAAATAAATAACATTTTATTTCCATTTATTATCATACATGTTTACGGTTATATGTAGAAAATTTCGATATATGACAATGCATACATGTATCTGCTTTATCATCTGGCACCCAATATGCTGCTACAGCACTATGTGGTGTATTATTACCATCTTAATATATATATATATATATAATCTAAATGATGATTTATGAAATCATTAATATATACCAGAAGCATATTGAATACAACGATCAAGGTGTGTTAACCATTCTTGTCGTTCTCGATCAGAATTGGCTCGAACAATAAAAGATTTTTTTGGACTACAAATCAACCATGAATATGGGTTTTCTAATTGAGTATTAATTAAATTTAATTCAATAAAGAAAAAGAGAATTTCTTTTTTTTTCTACCTTCAGAATCAATTGGAGTGGTAATTTGAATTTCATTTAATGGTATAATTTTCTGTTGTGAATACTAAATAGTTACTCATATTGATGAAGATAAAACCACTGATTTTTTGAAGAAAAATAAATTTTTATCACCTTACGTCCATTAATAACCACTCGTCCATATACAAGTATATCATTAAATAGAAAAAAAGCTCGTTGTTTTGGTTTTTTTCGACAAACTTTCATCAAAATTCCTTCACCAACAAGTGCTCGACCTTCTTTCATTAATGGCTAAAACCATTTAATGATCAATTAGAAATATTTAATCGAACAAAAAAGTAAAATAGAAAATCTCACTTGACTATTAACAAATTTATCTTGAACACTCTTAATTCTCTTCGCATTCTCTGCTGATCGACCTTTAAAAATAAGATTGATTTTTAAATTTTAGGAATAATATTTATTTACTAAGTTGCGCTAATCCATCTTCTTTTGAATATGATGTGTGAACTAAATCATTTGAACTCATTTCTAAAATAAAAGATTCCTTAATGATTTTACAAACTTCGAAAGCAATAAGAAAGAAATAGAAAAATTCATTAAATGTATGTGTTCACATGTTTTTAATATGATGTCGTCGTGATTCAAAAAATATTATTACATCTATAGGAATGGAAGAATTTTCTAACCAATGACAACACCACACGAAGCCTTACTAGACCAGATATTCATGCTGATTTATATTCTATTGTCAAAAAATTAGATGCTAGTGGATGAGTCATAACATAGCAGAATTCATAAATTACTATTAGAATATATATTCAAATTTTTTCGTCGAAAAAAAAGTCAACAAATGAAAAAAGAAACTTAATAATGAAGTATTTAGCTTACAGATGAGAGATTTTTTTCAGCTTATTTATACGTCTAATGAATCAAAATAAATAATCGAATTGAATATATTATTATTGTATATATTCAACACAATATATAATATTTGTATATACATTTATTTCTTTTTCTTTCTACTTTTATTGAAGTATACAGCTCGACTTTTATATATCCTTTTTCAATCCCAATCCCTATTGTATAAATGAGTAGTCGTCCTTCTTTTTTTTCTTCTATGTGCATACTTCGCTCTCTTTTCTTCCCTATCGATACTCTCTCACAAGTAACTTAAGTAATTGTATACCTATATATTTCATTCATCCTTGTTGCTGAGAAGCATACACCCGTCAATTTTTAACTCAGCGAAAATAATATTAATAGTACACAATTTTGTTTCAGATATGACGACTGGAATTTTTCAAAATGGATCGACAGAACCAAAGAAACGTAAAGTTGCTTTAATTACTGGTATTACAGGACAGGTAAGAATAATCACTAAATAATATTTATTTGATTATATTTTCTTTCAGGATGGAAGTTATCTGACTGAATTTCTGCTTAAGAAAGGTTATGAGGTATAAATATATATATGTATTCATTATCAATTATATCTTATTATTTGATAGGTTCATGGTATTATTCGACGTTCAAGTAGTTTTAATACTGGTCGTATAAATCATCTTTATGCAAATCCAGAATCACATCAAGAAGGAGGTTTGTTTTTTTATAATATATATCAAATTTTCGCTTTTATTTGATAAATTTAAAATAGCTATGAAATTACATTATGGTGATTTAAATGATAGTTCATCACTCGTAAAAATAATTGCTACTGTTAGGCCAACTGAAATCTATAATTTAGGAGCAATGAGTCATGTTAAAGTAATTTGTTATAGTTTTCTTTAATGAAAATAAATATTTCTTTGTTTTCTTCTACATTTAGATTTCATTTGATTTAAGTGAATATACAGCTGATGTTGATGCTGTTGGTACCTTACGTATATTAGATGCTATTCGAACATGTGGTCTTGAGAAAGATGTACGTTTTTATCAAGCATCCACATCTGAACTTTATGGAAAAGTTCAAGAAATTCCACAAAGTGAAACAACACCATTCTATCCACGATCACCTTATGGTTTGAATTTTTTCATAAAAAATAAATATTTCATTTTTATTTTATAGCTGCTGCTAAATTATACGCATATTGGATCACGATTAATTATCGCGAAGCCTATAACATGTTTGCTGTTAATGGTATTCTTTTTAATCATGAGTCACCACGACGAGGTATAAATAAAAATGAATTTATTGTGAAACACAATCTAAACGGAATGTTGAAGCATAGGGGTAAAAGTTCGAACACCTCCGTCACACACATACAGATCGTAACAGATGCTAGTCAGAGAACATAAGAGACGTTGTTGACATACTATCAAAGACTATACATCAGCAATGTCTCGTTATTAATATATGAACTAGTTCCTTGTTGCATTTCTAGAGGATAAAATAAAAGATAGTGAAGAAATGTATTCCAAATAGATAGAATAAAGCAATCTCCCTGTGATAATCAGCAACATTTGCAGTGTGTTTCACATTTGAATCCCGTAATGATTGTGCCAAAAGCTGTTTTCAAAATCATTTTTTTTTGTTTAGGTGATAATTTTGTTACAAGAAAAATTACTCGATCTGTTGCTAAAATTCATCTTAATCAACAACAATCGCTTGAACTTGGTTCATTGGATTCAAAACGTGATTGGGGACATGCACGAGATTATATTGAAGCTATGTGGTTAATGTTACAGCAAGAGACACCCGAAGATTTTGTTATTGCTACAGGTGAAGTATTGAATTTTTTAGTGTGGATAAATTGAAGAATGAATTTTATATTTCTAAGGTGAAACACATAGTGTTCGAGAATTTGTTGAAGCAGCATTTCAACAAATCGGAAAAGAAATTATGTAAGTTTATTGTTCCTTTTTTAAATTATTGATCGATTGAAAAACGAAATTTTAATAGATGGGAAGGTGAAGGTGTAAAAGAAATTGGCAAAGAAAAAAATACTGATATTGTTCGTGTTACAGTGAATGGAAAATATTTTCGACCAACAGAAGTTGTAAGTTTCAAGAGGAACATTTATTTCGAGTAGGAATTACCTTGTCTTTTTTTCTGTTATAGGAACTTTTAATTGGCAATCCAAAAAAAGCTGAAGAAAAACTTAAATGGAAACCAAAAATTACATTTAAAGTTTGTTGGAATAAATTTTTTAATTAAATTTTCAAACATGTTTTTTTTTTAATAGGAATTAGTTAAAGAAATGGTTGCAGCTGATATTGCACTTATGCTAAAAGACCCAACTGCTTAATAAAATAACATTCCAGTTGTGATACTAACTATGATTTGTGTATCTTTTTTCTTGAGACACTTTTTTTCTTAGGCAACATGTGATTTGCGATGGGTTTATAAATGACATTCTTTTGTTTATTTCTTTTTCCATGAATATTTTATATTCACAATCTCATTTTATTCTTGTTAATTCTTTTAACCACCTTATTATTCTTAGTGTTGCTTCAATAAAAAAATAATAATATTCATTTTTTAGTTACGTGAATTGTCTTTAAGTTTGTAAAACGATTAAAAAAATTTCTTTAATAAATTTGTATACAATAAGCTTGAATTAATAATGTGCCATCTATTTAGTTTTTCAAAATAAAAAACAAGAGCAGGTATTGAAATCAACAAGTTTTGTCTGAACACATACACGAGTTTAATATTGATAAAAAAAAATTCTTGATTTAAAATTATTTGAAATATTGGGAGAAGAAAAGAATCTATTAAACTGAATTAATTGAGAAAAGAGAACAATACTTTGTCACTACTTTCGAAAATCTGCTTATACATGAATGTGGAAAGAATAATTGGTAAAATGAGAATTTTTGAAACAATGTAAATATATCAAAGTTCAACGATAATGAACAAAAGTAGTTTTAACTACTCATTTATTACTTGAGCTGGGCCTTCGTCATGCAGTGCATTATTCACGTTTCCCCGTCCATCTCGGTGAGAAGCTTTATGTGTGTTTCTGGCTTGGTTACGATCAGATGCATTTTTTGAAGTTGTGGATTGGCCGTAATTCGATGCATTATTCGCACTTGCATTTTGGTTAGAATGTAGTGTATCAGTTTCGTGTGATTTTCGATCTGAAGACTCTTTATTATTCGCACTTCTTGGGTGATGATTTCGATGATCTCTATTTGGCTCATTTGATTGCTGTTGTTCAATTTTGAATTTTTGTCCCGTGACGTATAAAGCTTTTGCTACAGTCTTGATAAATTTTTCTTGAAACAATTTATTAATCCAGTCTGAAGAAATATTTTTGATACCATACACAGCACCAGCAAGCTCTCCATAGATAGCTGCTGTTGTATCCGTGTCATCACCTAAGTTTACTGCAAGAAGAACACCTTCATTGAAGGAGCTACCGTCTTTATAAAACGCCCATAAAGCGGCTTCGAGTGAATTCACTACATAGCCTTTTCCGCGAATACCATCTTCATATCCTTTCTTATTTTTATAAGAACCTTGAACAACTTTCAGCACCTCTCCACTTAAATTTATACATAAAACGTCTCGATAAAAATTTGGATCTAAAAGTTGTTCTTTGGGTACACCGTTTATGGCGTGCCAAATAAGACCAGCGTAAAATTGACAAGCTTCGATCGCTCTTTGATCATTGTGTGTAATTGTTGTGGCTTCATCGATGCATTTCTTGACGGCATCATACGATTCCGAAAAAAATAAAGGTATTGGTGCTACACGCATCAATGCTCCATTGCCAGCAGAATCCGGTGGTCCACATTCTAGATTTTTATAAAGAGATAGAAAATTCTGTTTTGTTATTTTATCCAGAGGAGTGTTTTTAGGGACTTGGTTGCTTTGGATTAATTGACAATGAGCGTTTGTCTGACGCTTTTCGAACTCGATAATTGCCTGACGTGTAGACTTTCCAATGTCAAAACATAGACCAGTAGAAGACATATATCCATCTTTATACCATCGTTTATATCTTATGAATTGATCATAAGGATCGAATTCGCCTTTAACTATAAGACTAGCTGCGAGGCAAAGTGCCATAGATGTATCGTCCGTCCATTGGCCTGCTTTTAAACCCCATGTGCCGCCAGTTTGCATGTCAGTCACTTTATTTTGTTGCAAATATGAATAAGGACGAAATTCGACTGATGCTCCGAGAGCATCGCCGATGGCAAGACCAACGAGGGAGCCTTGTATTCTTAGAAGTTTGTCGGTGTTACCAATATCCAGATCGGGATAACGAAGACGTTCGAATTCTTCATAGGGTTGCTTTTCATCAAGTAATTGGACTAATTTTGTTAATGGATCCTCTCGTTTAGACCTGGAAGATGATTGGAAATTTGTTGCCATACTCGATATTCCTGAAATAAAATGAAAAGCAATGACGAAAGACAATCAATACATATAGGAGTAGCATTTTTTCTCCGATAAATGTTTGACACACAGTTTAAAAAAAACGTCAAGTAACGCAGACAAAAAAAACGTAAAGAATTGAAAAATAGAACTTATCCAGTGTAGTTTTAAGCTTTGCATATTTTTCTTTTCCTCTTCTTTTTATATATTGAATTGGTGAAAATATTTACATAAGAAGAAAAAAAAGATGCATACACAAAAGCCACATTAAAGACAAAGAATGACTCAAATATATAAGAAAGATCTTGATATCGGTTCAGTAAAGCATATTGCTTCAAGCAAAAATATGAATTAAGTTAAAAAGACAACAAATTATAAAAATTTCATTGTTCAATAGTGTTGCTTCTTTTTTGTGTTAACAAAATTTTAAACAACACACAAAATACATAGTAAAACAAGAATCAAGGAAAAAAAATTGTTGTTTTTGTATAGTTACACATATTAAATTATATTTTTTAACAACATTAATAACAACAATAAAAAGAAGAAAAACAATGTTGAGTGAAAATAATTGTGATATTACTGAACCGATGATTGATAATAAGAATAAGAATAATTGAGTTTTGTTCTTCGCTTCACTGTGCTGACTGAAATAGAGCACCGAGATTGATTTTATATCGCATTAAATATGTGACAAAAAAAAAAACAACAGAAATAAAGATTGACATTGACTGGCATCTATCTGAATGTATTATTCATGATTAATTGTTTAAATAAAATTATAAACAAGCTCATGGTATTATGTCTGTCGATTGTGTATCATCATCAATGGATGGATGAATTATTACATCAGGGATTGAACTCTTGTCTGTTTCTTGCATATTTGGAATAGCTAAAAATAAACGAATCGAATTTCCTTCTCTCTTTTTTTTTTATTTGGTATTCGTTTAGAAGGTGTTTCATTTTTTTGTATGATGACATTAAAGTTTGTGTTTTGTCTTCTGATATTATATTATATACAAAGGTGGAACATCTTTTCATAATGACGAACATCAACTTTAATATTTCTACATAATCTCTGTGAAGCACCTGCTGAACGAATATACTTTTTTTTCACTTATGAAATCTTCTTACTTGTTGCAGTAAAAGTATGTCCATTTTCATCTTGATTAACATCAAATCGTGATACATGTGTACTATTATATGCAACACGTCCAGTTGTATCAACCCAATCCATAGTTGATAATGTTTCATCATCATCAGTTATATCACATTTATCACGTTTGTCATCTTGACGCTGTTGATGTCTTGGTAATGTTCTTTCAATATCTTCAACAACTTCAGATAATTTACGAAAACGTTCTTTAATTAATTTTCCATATATATTATGTTCTGTTTCTTCAGCTTCATATAAACCTGGATAACTTGCATCATCAATAATATTTACTGATGATGATGATGATGTACTAAGTGTTGTTGTTCCAATACCTAAACGTTCATCATTAGGTGGTAATGCTGATACACCTGAACTTTTAATTGATAAAAATTCTGAATATGATCCAACAATAATTTGTGGTGGAGCTGAATTTGGTGTCGGAAGAGGATTTGTTGCTTTTCGACTTGAAAAACTTGACGAACGCATAGCTCGATTTGCACCCGATGATAATAAAGATGATATAGGTAATTTAACATCATCGGGCGATGATACAGCTGTAAAATTTAATATTTCTTCATCATCATCATCATCATCATTTTCTTTTATTTTCTTATCCGATGATTTTGTTGAAGCACTTTCAATTAATGCTGCTTGATCATTTGATGATGTTGGCATTTTTTGTATAAGAACATTAAGTAATTGTAATGTTGATGATTGCATATCTTCAAGACGTTGTAAACGTTCATCAAACCTTTGAAAACAACTTGTTTGTTGAGTACTATTTCGTTTTAATGTTTCAACACGTGTTAACATATGTGAAACTCTAAAATAGAATTATTTATAATTTTAGATGAAAATAAAAACCAAAAAAAAAATTTATTTTACCTTTCTGATGTTGTTAACATACGTTCTTCAACTGTACTTTTTTCTTTATCTTCTTTAGCTAAAAGATATTCATGTACACATTCTTCTTCGAAATCACGTAATTTTTCAATTTCTTTAGCACTTAAAAATAATTTTAAACCACGATTAAATATACGTTTACGATGACGACATATACGATAAATTGTTTTTATTAAAAGAAATATATGAGAAAATATTATTAATGGTGGTGCTAATAATGGTTTTTGTTCATATTGAAGAATTGTATGATATCGTTGAAATTTCCATACCTAATTGAAACAAAAATAATTTCGATATTTTTTTTTCTTCAAATTTGTACGAAAAACAAAAAGAATGAATTTAACCTGATCTGATAATCGACTTAATCTCATAAATGTTGATGTAAATTGAGCCATCAACATTGAAAGTAAAAGTACATTACAAACAAGAAGAAACGCTGTCATGGTTATTGGAGTTATAAAATGACCAAATTGACATGATGGATTAGTTGGATCGTCGGTTACATTACACGGTGGATCAATTTTTTCAGCATATACTTCACCATATATCTATTCAAAAACAAATTAAAGAGATTTATTGATTAGCTCAACAAAAAAAAATAATATGATCATACCATAAAATAAGGTTCAAGAAATATTTCTTTAACAGAATGCCAACTCCAGTCCTGATCAGGATATTTAATTGCTTGTCTTGATACACCAAAACTCATTAGAACAATTAATACAATAACAATTAAACGAAACAAATCAACAATCTAAATAGAATGAATAATTAAAAATCATTGGTTAACTATTCGGTATAAAGTGCGCTGGAGCTGTAACTAAGGAGTGGTATTTCCACTTTTCTTTTGCTTTTAGAAAAGAAAGATGTAATATTTTACTGTTGGAATGCTTGCAAAATTAGCTATATCAATTGCAAATATATAGAATAATTTGTACCTCAAAAAACAGCATGAACAAAAAAGAGTTAAGAATAAAATATGAAAATTAATATCTTCTTTCGTTCATTAACTATTTATGTACAAAATATATATTGCTTATCGTTTTTTGTTGTTGTAATTTGAAAATAGCATTAACAATTTAACTTTGCGTTCATGGAAAATTTTTGATACTGGTAAAGTATAGAAAACATTATTCATAATATACTTTTATTTAGAGCAAAAGATTCGATTAACTGTTTCATCAATCATCCATACCAGTTTGAAATAGACGAAAGATTACAAAATCTGAGGAGAGAACGAGAGTAGAGTGATAGGCAGAGTGAACAAAAATAGGGAAAAGTGAAAAACAGTATCATACAAGATAGACTATTATGAAGATGCGTATATTACGCGAAAAGAAAAAAGAATGATTGAAGAATATTCAACTGCTATTCTTCAGAACTTCATATTATAAACAGATGATATATATATATATATACAAGTTTTTAATACTAGACATTCATCTAGCAAAATAACTTTATTGAGGAAAGGGAAGTGAAATTGCCACTCCTAGTTGTAACTGGCTCGATCGGTCTTCATTGGTTTTTATCGGTTGAAAGAAATTTTATAGATTTACCATTGTTCTCTGATAAAACATGTCGAGAGCAAGTTTTGAATGTTATTCTCAAAATAATAAATAAAACAGATTCTTTTCTGTTTGTCTACATTGCTTTATTTCTTTAATCGAAATATATTTCATTTTTGAAAAAAGCACAATCAACAGTGTGTTACTTGAACTAAACTTATTTCATTAATATTTCTTTAAAGACCAGATATAGGTTCGCACTCTCATTCGAAGAGAACTGGTTAGGTTTATCTACAAATCAATTATCGGGTAAATAGTTCTTTTTCTATTCGTGCTCTACAGAGAACCATCATATATTCATCTTTTCAAAACCTAACAGATCTAAACGACTATAATATGATACTTCTTCTTAAAGACTTGTAAAAAACTGCGTGTAAAAATAAAAATGAGTGTTCTTGTGGAAGCTATTCCTATTAAGCAATTGAAAATGACTCAACACATCGGCTAGTTATTGCCGATATTTAACAATCCAAAAAAGGTTTTGATCTGGTTGGGCTGGACAGATTACAACTCTGATGTGTGGTATACCGATAGTTGTTCTCTGACCGGTTGCAGTGGAAATACACATGTAACATAGATTACTGTCAAATACGACAGTACAACGATAGATGCAAATTATATTTCGAACGAAAATATACCATCATTATGCTTACAAAAGTTTGAGAAGAGTATTTATTCGATTGATTCTAATCATGAAAATATTATTTTTAATTATTTTCAATTATCGCAAAAAATAACTATTCTCATGTGATTCAAGCCGAACAAAAACTGCCGGAATGCTCTTAATCAACTAGAGATAGTTTAATATTTAAATGGTTGACTATTCTCTGATCGACAGTAATGTAAACAAACATGCAACATGAGTTATTTAATCGAATCAACCTTTTTTCTTCTTCTACAGAAAAGCAAACATTTCTACTTACATTTCTTGCTGCTATGTGAATATATGGTCCTACTTCTTTCGATACAACCAAAAAATGAAACATTCGAAGATACCAGAAACTTAAATTAATACATAATAACAGTCTTCCAACAATCCGAAAGTCATTTGTTAATCTCAAACCAAAAGCCACAGCAAACATCAAACAAGAAAATGTATCATATAAATGCAAAACATCATTAAAATAAACTGATAACCAAGTTTTCCATCTCGTTCCACTCATTATTAATAATTCTCTTATTAAATCAATAGCAACTGTTGTTAAATAAGACATTACTATCCATTCGCATACAGAAGGTTTTGCTGATGTACGAATAAGTATAACATAAGTGAAAATGGACAAAAAAGCGACAAAGAAAATTAAATCTTGAAAAAATTTTGTCACTGGTGCATTATAAAATTCATAAACTTTTTTCGTTAATGGTATTTGATCTCCACTATCATTTGAATGAATGTCCCGATCTGGTCTTTTCCAGCATCGATAACGTCGAAGAAATTTTCTTGTTTGACGTAATAATATACATATAAAGTGATATATAGTTGAATGATGAATTGTTTCTTGAAAATCTGCTAAACGATTTCGAAATGTTCGTCGTTGATTTGGAACATCATTTGAATCATTTATTTCATTTGGTTCATTTATTAATATTGTTGTTGTTGGTATTATTGTTAATGGTGGATTATGATTAGGTGTTAAATCAGTTAATGTAAATAAATTTATTTCATCTGATCGATTATTATGATTATTTCCTGGTGATGATGGTTGATCCTCTGGATGTATTGTACTACTATTTTGTTTCTTTCGTTTTTTCTTTCGACTTTTCTTTCGACGTTTTCGTAATGTATTTGTTTCATTTGGTATTTCATCATTTGTTTGTTCATCATCACGATCTGTAACAGAAAGTACTGGTTCATGTGATTCATCTGATGATGATGATCGTGCATCTTCAGAACTATTGTCAGTTGAATCATCATCATTATTATCACTATCAATAAGATCTTCTTCATCTAAGAAAAAGAAAAATGTTTTATTAGAAATATTTATTTTGTTTCGAATTTATCATACTTTGAAAATATTCTTCTTCTGTTTGAGGCATCAATTGTAATTCTTTTGATGATTTAAAATCAATAAAGAAAAGTGCTGGTGGAAAAAAAAGTGCAATTAATACCATCCATTTAAGATATTTTCGAACATTCATTCCACCAATCCATAAATCAGATAATAATTGTTGACAACATTTATGTGCAACAAAATCTCGAAGATAAGCTGTTACAGATAAATCAAGACATGTCCAGTTAGACCAATTTTCAAGTTCACATGTAAGAATTTGAGTAGCATTGACATCATCTTCTTGATAACATTGATCAAGAAGTGCAAGTGCTCCTAAATAAAGGAAAACAAATATTTTTATATAAAACTTATTGGTTTCGAAAAGTTTTAAGAAATAATAATGAATATGACTGAGAAAAGGTACTATGGCTTTTTTAATGATGACTTATTTTATTTTATGCGATTTTAATAAATTGAATCAATTGGATTTATAATGGATCGAAAATATGATTGCATAAGAATAAATAAAGATTTTATAGTTCCAATGAACTTTTCTATCGGTAATTGCTGGTGTTATAAGTTCAGTTATTTATAGATCTAACTGGTACTAGAGTATTAATGATGTAGCCCAAAACAAGCGCTCTAGTGGAGGAAGGCGAAGTCTATCTGGCAATGCTTCCAGCATAAACTCTAACTCTTTTTTTCAGCGGAACTCGACCATTTGTAGAGGATATTCAAAGTCTTTTTTTTGTCTCAACAGTAAATACACTCTTGTTGTCTATTAGTGATTCTCTTAATTTGTAAATATATACTTTAAATGAATGTATATGAAGATGAAAATCATCATTCAATAGCATTTCGTATTTTCAAGTTCATATAGAAAAGAAAATTTTGTGAACATTCGATATTAGTTATATTTCTATTGCTATTAATTAATAAACTTCTTATTACTTTGTTGAAAATCTTCAGCATTCGACAAAAATTCATCAGCAATTTCAGTATCAAGTTCATCATCTTGTGCTTCTCTTGCTAAACTTTTATTTAATCGACATGCAATAAGTGCTTTAGCTAATGCTTCTTCACCATGTGCCCAAAAAAATAATGCCATTTCATGTCGTTTTGTTAAAACAGCAAATATAAGTAATTCATTATAAGGAAAATCAAATGTTGGATCTTCACACATTGAATTCTTTTTCATATCATCATTTAATACAGTATTATTCATTTGTGAATATTGTTCTTTTTGTTCAGCATCAGTATAAACATTAAAATTTTGTCTTTGACTAAATGGTTGTCGTATGCATAAATGACGTATAATACGACGTGTATATGATGAACGATAACCTTGTCCAATAAGTTTTTCAACAATAAGACCTATTTCATATAATGAATAAACTTTTGTTTGTACATGATGACCTGCACTACGAATAACATCTTTAGCAATTAAATGTAATGTTGAATTTGATCCACATGCATTATATAGTGCTTGTAAACGATTAAATGTAAGAAAAGTCTTAATTGATACACCATTTTCAATAAGTAATTTAATATATTCAACATGATTATCAACAAGTGCTTCAAACATGCATACATCTAATTGAGCTTGAGTTAATTCCAAACGTTTTGTAAGTAAACATGTTTGAGCTATATCAGGTCGATTCCATGAAAGTGTTAAACGAAATTGTTCAAGTGCACTTGCTTTATGATTTCTTTAATAGAAAAGAAGAGAATAGTTTATTTTGCTTTTTTGGAATTATTATCGTAAATTTTCCTCAATCTTTCATAGAAATAAAAAGATATTCAATTCATGGATGACGTATTCTCGATTTTTTAAACAAAAGATTATTGAGTTTGACTTCTTAATTAGTCATTTTTCAACACAGCTAATGAGATAAAAGAAATGAATAATTGAAACTGTCATCTATCTTAAGAAGTCTTACATTTCTGTTTCCTTGGATTTCCAAGAAAAGCATAATGGTTCTCCTTCATTTAACAAATTTGTTTTTTTTGTTCCACAATACTAAACAAAATCATTCATTTTCATATCTCTCACTATCAACCAAGTAGTTAAAAAAAGGCATTTATCCTTTAATTAATCTTAAATTCCTTCAGACAGAAAAGAAAATATTTACAACATTAATCATCATATATCATCGTGTCCTTTTTTGTACTGTTATAGATATCCAGAAATAAAATCAAAATGTATGTATGGCGTATGTAAAATAGTACTAGATGACACGCCTTGATAATCTACTGCTCAGTATGAAATCAACCATTGTAGGCAGCTAGTGCTCTTGAATGAATGAAAAAAAAGTCGTAGAACACATAAAAATAAATGAAATGACTCTAATTCCGGTTTTTGCAACGGAAATGTCTCAAGATCATTAAGACCGGAATTTAAAACAAAATGGTTGCTCTCAATTATGTTTTGTCACATCAAATTTATGAAACCTTAGAAAAAAAAACATACCGAAGAAGAGTTCGTAAAATAGCTTGATCAACATCTTCTTGTTCTCTCGAACCATCATCATCCATTCTATAGATTGTTATATATTGTCTTTTTCTCATACATAAAATTAATTCAACATAAACCTTTTCCGCTTGTCGTCGATTATAATTAAATGCTTTTTCAATAGCATTTAATAATTGTTCTTGTAAATCAGCTGCCATTGTTCTAAAATAATAACAACAAATATTTCCTATATTTTTGCGTGTATTATAATTAAATAATACCCGTCATTTTGTGTATGTTTATATGTAAATGCAATAAGATCAGCAGCACGACCACTTCCATCAATAACTACAACAGAAACCTAAATAGAAACAAAACACAATGTGTATAAATTTTGATAATTAAATTTTACTGGTGGCTCTTCAGTAACATATTCAAGTACAGTACGAATTGTATTTGTTCCACCTTCAACGATAACACATACCACAGGAACATTTTGTTTTCCAACATGACCTTGATTTTGAATAAAAAAACAAAAACAAATGTGTTTACAAAGAAAAATAAAAAATATTCCTTTTTGTTTACCATGAAATGAGATTTTTTGTTGTGAAAGATATTTTTCAAAACGTTTTCGAAGTATAACTTCTCCACCATATTTTCCTACTGTTCCATTATCAACAAGTAAAAAACAGCTATGTGAACTATTTAACGTTGCACAATTATCTTCTGTAACAACTGCTGCTGAATGATAAGAAACTGTTTGCTTAAAAAAAAAGAAGAAAACAAAAACGTATATTTTGTTTCTTTAATTATGTCTATTATAAACGATGTGATTATATTTACATTTTGTCCTTTTAGTTGTTCACGTCCTTGAATAACACCCCATGGTGCAATACCAACGACAACAATATTGGATCGAATTCTTGATCTCACAAAAAGTGCATCACCAACATGTTTAACAACACCTGTATTAATACCTGATGTAAATATCCATGCACCAGCAGTTTTTGCTGCTTTTAAAAGGCCACGTTTTAATACTTGACGAAGTCGAGGTTCTAATTCAAAATTTTGTATACCACCATGTATACTTACAATCTAAAAGAACATAAATCATATGTTTTCTTTTTGTGACTTTTTTTCTCCTTACAAGATTCGGTAATTGTAAACGCCATTGTTTTGTAAAAAGATGAACAATTTGGGATGGATTTGTATCATAAGCTAGGCGTAAATAATGTGCCTTGGCTGGATGAAGCATATTTTCAAATTCAATAATTCCATATGCATTTGTTGGATAAAGTGTTGTATGTTTAGCAACATTCCATCGTTCAAAATCATGTTCAGATTGATCATGGGATGGGTTGGTAAAAAGAAGTTTGCTTGATATAGATTTAAGTGCACGATTGGGTGGTTTTATTGGCGATAATGGATGATATTCAACACTGTTATCATGTTCGGATTCTAGTCGACCACAAAAACAACGAGATGGATCATTAGTTGTTGAAATAAATTTTTTGCATCGTCGTCGAAAAAAAACCATACACAAATTGGAATCATTTATAGGAGCCTAAAAATAAAAACAAACAAACTTTTTATGTTTATTTAATTAATCATATTTAATCAATCAATTTTCTTACAAGATGTCCATAGAGTCTATTCAACATATCGTTTTTTCTTTCTGTCTTGTTTCCCGTAAATGTGGATTATTCACTAGAGAAAAAATTCTCCTTCTCTATTATCATCCGAGTCACGCAAACATCTCCAATTTCCTTAAATGATTAACTCCAACGAACGAACACACACACGCATCTATTTGTATATAGTCAACACGACTTTCTTTAGAACACAAGAGAATATATATAGAAAGAGAAAGACTTTTATTACTTCTTTGTTAGCCATTATCATGACCAGCGCCAATAGAAAATACGTGATTCGGCTGATATTTTTCTGCAAGTAATCGTTGTTTCATCAATAACGAAACATAGGTAGGGTTGAATAAATTTAAATTGTTTGTATGATGAAATCAACCGTCTGAAAAAGAAAAAATAATATCAAAGCATTGGATGGAACACGTTATCGATGATTCTTATGAAATACCATAAGAAAAAGGGCAAAAATTACCAAATGTAAGAACATTAGTTTATAACAACAGAATTCTGTTGACATTAATAGATGATGAAATACTTTCATCTTATCTATTACTTTCAAAGGAAGACAACAAAATGTAGTTATTTGATTCATTCAATTACGTACTTCAGTTGTTGTTTTTCCTCCTGAGTGAAAACAGTTGAAACCATAGAAAAAAAATAGCAACCATGAAAACATGATTACACTTAGGGTTTACATACTTCAAAATAAAACTTATTGCGTCTTTCGACTCAATTCAAATAAGGAATACGAATAATCTACATCGATCAGCGAGTGTCAATAATTCAACGTTTAAAAACTATTCGTTAGGTTTTCTTTCTTGCCCTTAGGCAATATTCATCTTACAAATAGTTGAATAGAGCATACAAGCATCATAAGGAACCTTGCACTTCATACTTCAAACATACCAAAAACATTTTTTTCTTTCAGTATGCCGTAATTGATTGTGTCAAGTTTGAAATGATATGCATGTACGAATACATTCATTCGATCTCTTTGTTTACTTCATTTACAAGAAGCAAAGGAAGAAAAAAACTTACCATATCTTCACACTTAACGTCTTAGCTATCTATCTATAGTGAAAACAACACGAAGAAAAAAAAATAGACGCCATGATCAGTGTAGTTTTCTTTATTACAGGTGGCGCTAGAATGACTGTATTAATGGTTGGATTAATTCCTTTGTCTTTTTCTCATCAGCTGTTTAGTCTTTCAAGATTAGTATTTGATAATTCATATTCTAAAGACTTTTTGATTTTAATCTAAAAGCTTGCATCTATTTCCGATGATGTTGAGAATGACTATGTTGATCTATTTCGCTCAATTACATTCTAGATATGTCCAATGAAAACAATGAACGACAACAAGATTCATCTGATGTCAATTCTAATCATGAAAAAATTTCACCATTATCAAGCCGTTTTCTAGTTGCACATTCATCGCCAGTACATGAATCAACAACTGACGTAATTACTCGTATACAAGATGATTCATTTCAATCATCATCATCAAATTCAAAAAGTAGTTCAAGTACGACAAGTCGTTCATCACGTCGTCAATTTTTAATTATACAACATCAGTCGGCTGTTAATTCACCATTAATGTATTCACGTTGTACTTCATTGGGTTCATTATCAAGTTATGATATACGATCATCATGTAATGATTCATATACATCTGAATGTAGTTCAATAAAACCGTCCGGTATAATATCGCCAAGTGACATACCTGATTCACCACCATGTGAACCAGAAATAGTTGAAGAAGAACATGAACATATAAAACATAATAATCGTACATTAACTATGAATACAACATCAAGTCATAATCGAACAACAATGATGGGTGAAACAGTTATTGAAAAAACTTTTATATTTAATCAACATGAGATAATTTCAAATCAAAATAATGATAATGACCATGATGATAATGAACATCTCGATGAAGTTATTGTTTATTCATCTGAGACATCTGATATAAATCAAAATCACATTAATAAATCATTATATAATAATGAAATTATCTTTGATGATGATACTTATCGTATATTTAATAGTCAAATTGATGAAAATGATTTACTTATTGATGATAATAATATACAAAACGAATCATTGTTTAATGCTTCTTTACATGAAAATTTAAGTATTATTACAGAAGAATCTTCCTTTATTGAAGATACTAATTCGAATGATGAAAATAGTAGTATTAAAATTCTTTATGATCTTATTAAAAAACCACATTGGACAAAAAAAAATAATTTACTAGAACAACAATTATTAACTGATTCATCAAAAAATTGTAATACTTCATTTAGTAGTAGTCCTAGTAGTCTTAGTCTTGATAGTAATAGTAATGATCAAACAGATGATGATGATGAATATGATCCAGAAAAAGGTCGACAATTAATACAACGTCTTATTGAAGAAACACTTGCTCGAAGGTTAGATAAATACTTCAAAATTATATTTATAATTCGTTAGTTGTTTTTTAAACTTAGATCTCTGCCGACAGACTTTCTTCATTCAACTTCATGTGTCCTTTGTCCATCAAATACACCAATGACTATACCAACACGAAGTATATCATCATCATCATCAAGTTCAATATCGACATCGACGAAATCTTGTACATGTACAACCAACAGATCATCAAATATAATTCAACAACCACAACGTAGTCAAAGTTCACCAGCTAGACCTTCGACAATTGCAATAGATGGATTAAAACGACAAGCAACCAAGCTGAATGTAAATATTTTAATAATGAAAAATATTTTATTATTTAGTATTTTCTAGGAGAAGACAGTACATCATACTCGCTCATCATTTTTACGTCTTCGTCAAGCTCAACAAAATAAACGACTCTATCAACAAGATAAAAAATTCTAGTCAGATATATTCATTGATAGATAAAATCAGATTTATTATTATTTGATTTTTACACTTACATGTTTCTTTTTTTGTATCGCGTCTGTAAATTGTGTATAGATTATTGTCGTAGGTTCCTTTTTTCTGTTTCTATTTAACAATAACAACATCAGATTGATGAAAAATAAAGCCAACATTTTTTTTTTCCGTGAATAATTTAAAACCATGAAATGAGGGTATTAGTGTAATTCCTGCGGGATTAAAATATGAGACACAGCGTAGCTGTTCTTGCTAATTACACGAAGATTGTTTTGTTCTCTATTTTTGGGACACATTTCTTTATCATATTTTTACTTAATATTCCGGAACTGCAATAAAAAAAATAATTCATATATTATTATGCGACGTTAGTATCTTCTACCTTATATATCTCAACATTCCTTTTAGGTTGTGTTTTACATTATCTTCATATTTTATTTAAAAGCATTGACTATCTAGAAGTATTAACAAACAAATTCAAGAATATGTGTCTTCTATGCTCTTGTCTCATAATATTCCATGAAGAATGTAGTTCAAGTTTCATTTTATTGTCACATATGAAACGAATATATATTTCGAATGAGTTTCGTTTTATCTTATAAAATGCAAAATATTTGATTACTTGGAACTTTTTGAATCACAGAAAACATACTTTTGCAACGGAAATAGGACGAGATTTGCTGAAAAAATATTCTCTCTATTTTTGAATATCGGAACAAGTAACAATAAAGAAAAGTTCAAATCATAACATTAAAGTCAAAATATAAAAAAACTACAGTTGCACATGTATTTGATATACGAATAACCATGATAATCATTTCATCATTATCTATTTTTCCTATTATACTTGATGAGCCATCATGTACTGTTTCATTTTTTCCCAACATATCTGACCTGACGAAGTTCGGATAGTTCCGTCATTGTCAATTCTGCCCATTCGTATTCTTCTTGAATTTCGAAGATTTTCATTATTATCAGTACTTACCGACATATTGAAAACAGATTGTATACGTGTATTTTGATCAAACAATAAGAAATATGACTGAATAAAACTTCATACAAAAACATAACAAAATCACTGAAACCTGTTGCTTAAACAAGCAAACAAAAAGAAATTAGTTTTAAATTACTTGACAACGTAACAAATTTTTTTTATTTAGATGATTTCATTTGTTGACGATGAAGCCATTATAAACATTGCTTACTGTGGCAACAACCACTATGATGTGAATAGTTTTTGTTTTTCAATGTAAAATACCATTTTTCAAGAATACGTCTTTTGACAGGTACTCTATTGTATATTTAATTCAATAAAGAAAAAAAGGAATAGGTAAGATAATTTATAGATGTGTTGTAAAACTTCTCGTATAATCTACGATTGAAAGTCTTATTTGAGTCATTTGATTAACAGACAACGATAATGTCTTGGTTAAACATCATTGCCGACCTTGTTTTAGATATTATTAAAGTTTATAACTTGATAAAATATTCTTTCAAGGCAAAAAAGAGTCAAATATTTGTTCTTTTATCCATACAAGACCATGCAAATTGTAAAATTATAGAGTGAAGATTTATGATTTAATATCAACTTGACAAATTTTTATTTGTCTATCTCTCAATTGTAACTGTGGTCAAAATTCATTTAGTTGATTGTTTCGTTGTTATGCTTGCACATTAGTCTATTCCTATTAAAGAAAACGAAAAATCCTTATTTAGAAAGATAGAAAAGGATCTATTTCATTGTTTCTATGTTTCAATTGTTTTGAGTGATTAATCTCGCAAAGAAAAGGGATTGATCAATTTTGAAAGAATGGTTGAATAACAAATTTTGACGATCTTTATTCCAATCTTTCAATTCATTTATACGTAATCATAATTTATAAATTCGTTCATTATATTCTTTCTTAGTTTGTTCCTACACTTCGACTATTTTTTCAAAGTAAATATTTAATAACTTCATTAATATTAGATTGATTATCTGAAAAAAAAACTAAGCGAGTAAAAAGTATGATATAGCGGACGAGTAGAAAGATACTAATCAAAGTTAAGTTGTCTTCAGGATTACTTTGTTATGACCAAAATCTAATAGAAATAGCAAAATTGACCTTTAATGTTAAATATGAGACTAAAGAAGGAAGGAATTCTGTCGGAAATGTCTTTAATGAAATTCGAATATTATCAGTTATTTAAAAGCAAAGACTAGTCTTTTCGTTTGGTTTGATGACTATAAATTAACTAATCGAAGAAAAAGATGAATAGGGGCTTATATCTAATGTCTAGAAATTATGTGATGTTTCTTTTCTTTTTTAAAGCACTAATTCATCTATACCAATCAACATAGACAATACATTTACTTACTGCTCCTGCAAATAATTGATTAACTGTAAAACAAATAATAAATATTTGAAGATTTAGTTAGACTTTCAGCAAATACAAAATATTCGAGCTTGATTGATTTAAAAGTTGAATTTTAAAAAGTTCAAATTGACTGTTAATATAGCTTTGTAAACACAAAGAGTTCACTGTACGCATTGTTTCACACCTGTCATAAAACAAAACGATGATGACTGATAGACTTTGTGTTTCAAATTCATTGAACACCTTCAAAGTGTTCGTACATCCTGATAACGATTCCTGTCTACTACTCATACAAAATCTTGTTTATCAAACGGCACCTTTATTAGGAAAAAGTTATAATAAAGTAGCACAAAAATCATGAATGTCAAAAAGTAAAAAAAAAACATCTGTTTCTGATAAACTGAAGATAGTATAAACATGACTTTTGTTTTTTATCTTTTATTTCAGAGTAGTATGGAAAATAAATGTGCTGGATTCAAATGTACAATATATACTGAAACTCGTCATATTGTTCGAGGTAATCGAATAGCGTATGGTATGTTGCAATAAATCTGTTGAAATTGTGCAAAGTGTATTGCTAAAGAAGGAAAAAGTGGTAGTAGAAAGTATTCTGATATTTTCAATAAAAATAAATATGCTTTATCTATGATGCAAGATGGAAGAAGATGACATGTTTTTATCGGTGAAGACAGTCCAGGATTAGGTTTTAAACTATATGATGTAAGGTTATTTTAGATAAAAGGATGTGAGTTGTGAGTGTGTCCTCTATGAAACCATACCCATTCACACCAAAAACTGTCAACAATTCGAAAGCATAACCGGCAATATTCAGTATTTCAAAGCATTATCCTATTATGAACAATAATAACATTAGGATACATTTTCGTGTGTTAACAATAATATTTATTCAGAGTCAAATAACTCAACTTTGAACTTTAAAATACTACAGTAGTGATTTGCTTGTATTGTTTGTCAGTTCGAAGTGAGAAATTGGAAAAAGAACTTGAGAGTTAAAGCACGTAGAACAAAACTTTGAAAATTCCCTTTTTTGAAAGTTGTGGATTTTAGATATGTATGTTTTGTCGTTAATTCTAAAGCAATGAATCCCAACCGAATCAGTTGAAATATGTAAGATTGTTTCAGGATGAAAAGAAGCATCTTTGAAAAAAAGATTTTGCCTCTTCATGTTTTAATAGTATCGAAATATATGCAAAATACTGAGGGTTTCATTAATGGTTCGCCCGTTACATGTACATCAGAGATCTGCGAGTCAACAAAACAATCGTCTCGCTTCGTCTAGGAACTAATATAAAAGTAGATGTCTCCTTGTGTATTTTTTCAATCTCATCTAAATATTACTAATCCTTTTATTTCATAAGATCAAATAAAGTCAAGGATATGACGACGAGTCCAAAGTGGAGCGGTGTCAAGAAATGTTCTGAATTCTAAAAAAAGTACATATGCAATTTTCTAGATGTGCGATAATAACGGGAATTGTGCCTACCCCCCCTCATCGTTGCATCCTTGAATAAAGTATAGAACGCCTGCAAATTCATTGACCGAAAAGAAAACTTAATGTTTCTATTAAGGTTCTTTTGTATGAACTGGTTATTGTAATGATGATCTGGGACAGTTTAAAGTTTTATTCAATAATATAGAGGGTGTGGGTGTGGATGTGCAGTGTGCGGTGTGGGTATGGCTACGTGTATGTACGTGAAGAGGGGACTCATATCCACAGGTGACACCGACACGCCACACCCACACCTAAATTCTAAAATTCCATCTATACTAATATGAAATCATTTCATATATATTTATTCTAAAATTCTAGAATTCAACTCGGTGCGCATCTCCTTATATGAAAATATTGTTAAAAAGGTATTGATTATATTTATGTTATATGTACACAGACAAGGCTAAATGTAGAATTCTATGAGAATTCTAGAATGTTAGAAGAGGGCCACGTCTCTCGCATCATGTAACATCGTCCCACATGTAAGCTGTCGGCAACGGATAGGAAAAAATTTCGGAATTTTTCGAAGTTGGTGTCATTTTAAAACTATTTGAAGTTGAAAACTAAGTTAGAAAAACATGACCCCGTAAGTTTCTAGACTACGCTACGAAATTCTATCTTCATAACGAAGGCCGATGTAGAGTGGGTGTACAGTCAATAGCAGCTAATATTTGAGTGTGGATGTCTTTTCTTCGTCGACACACACATATCCAAACTCAAGCTCCGTACTAAAGTGATAAAAATAATTTGTGAAGACAAGACGGGACGGGGCGAGGATAGAAAAAAAAATTAGGGACGAGGCGGAGCAAGGAGAAGTTTTTTCGTGGCGGGGAGTGAAAAATCGTCCCCGTTTCGGTCTCTGTGCCCAGCTAAAGCCCTTTTTCGAGGTGCTAAAATACAATACATACGAGTATGTTGAATTTATTCGATTGTGTTTTATTATTGTGGAATTCCTATCACCTAGGCCTATTCCTTTTCCTCTATAAATATTATTTTTAATACATCAGGTGAACTCAGACTGATTGACACATTTCTTCAAAAGGCATTGATTTCTCCCTTATCAAAGATTTCGATGAAACGTAAACTGAATTAATGAATGCAGGCATGGGTG